AAATCATGGTATGTCATGAAGACAGCAAATGAATCCAAACACAGAATTTAAAAACATTTAGCAAAAATAATTTGTTACATCAAAAAGTGCAATATTAAAATCAGTGGGGAATGTATAGTATCCAATTGTGTTAGGACAACCAGCTCACCATATTTAAGTTATAGTCCTCCTTATAATACATATATATTTGTATATATGTATACATGTAGATACAAAAATCAATTGGGTAGTTTATTAAAAATTAAAAACTGATACATTTTTATAAATGTACATAAACTTTTAAATAACATGGGTTGGAGAAACCTGTTTAAGAATAGTCCAGATACCGTAAAGAAAAAAGGATTTATCTACATAAACTGTTTAAAGAAATTGGAGAGGGATAAATGTAAGTACCAATAAGAGGTATGAAAAAAAATTCCATATAATGACAATGAACTAAAACCCATAGTGGACAAGAGTCTTCCAAATAAATTAGGTAAATGTAATGGGTTGGAATATATGCCCCCAAATTTGTGTGTTGAAGTCCTAATCTCTAGTACATTAGATGTAACTTCATTTGGAGATAGTTTTTTCAAAGGTAATAAAGTTAAAATAAGGTCATTAGGACAGACTTTAAACCAATATGACTAGTGTTCTTATGTGAAGGGGGAATTTAGACACAGAGATACACCTGGAAGGAAGATGCTGTGCAGAGACATAAGGAGAAGACAGCCATCTGCAAACCAATGAGAGGGGCCTGAGACAGATCCTTCTCTCACAGCCCTCACAGGAAACCGCCCTACAAACAACTTGATTTTGGATTTCTAGCCTCTACAATTGTGAGACAAAATATCTATTGTTTGAGCTACCTAGTCTTAGTTAATTTGTTATGGAAGCCCTAGAAAACTAATAAGTAATTAACTCAAAATTTAAATGGGCAAAAGACAAAGACAGATAATTTATAGAGAAAGAAATACAAGTGGTAATATTATGAAAATATAATCAATCTCTAATAAAGCAAATACAAATTACATCAGAAAGAGAGTACCATTTTTCACTCATGCCATTAGCAAATTTTCTTTTAAGAAAAAGGGAGAGAAGACAATGTCTGGTTTAGGTGAAGGTGTGAAGAACATAACAATATACTAAGAAAATTGTAGGCTAGAATAGCTGATAGGCAATTTACCAGCACGTATCGAAACTAACACAAAATATCTCATGTACCCCGTAAATATATGTACCTACTAAATGCCCACAAAAATTAAAAATTAAATAAATACAAGATATGGGCACTGAAGCCAGACCTCCCACCCCACCCCCCCAAAAAAATTAACATGTTGACTTTTAGTGAAATATTTACACTTTTAGAAACTTGTATCACAGAAGTACTCAGGGAATTCTTTTGTGTCCACAAATATACACTTTATTACTTTTTAAGAGAGAAAGAAAAAAATTGGAAACACCATAAAGTCTCAGTGGTAAAAATATATTCAAGTACAACCAAAATGGATAGTAACATACATAGACATGGAAAGTGCTGTAAGACACATGAAGCCAGTTACAGAACCTGAGTGTAGGAGGGTCATATTTACTTTTCATGTATGCAAGAGAAAATTATTAGAAGATGAGCATGCACTCATTTGAAAATGGAAGAAAATCCAACAAAATGTTAGTCAATACTTTCATTATGGTTACTTCTGCAGTATAATTTGGCTTCCTCTTACATAAGGACCTTAAATGTTTGAATCTAAACTAGTGCTGTTAATTAACAATTCTGCCAATATTTTTGTGATAATTTGTGTCTTCTTCATGGTTCCTAATGTATTTACCAGAAAATAGAGAGATTTAAATTGGTTCTGTTTTCCTCATAACATTATTTGAAAATCAAATATGAAGATGAAATTAAATGATGTTATATATTATAAAAAAGGAAATGTTATTTATATTTAATTTAATTAAAAATAAATATAGTAAATAAAGTCAACATTTAAAACTTATTTGTGTAATAGAGAAGAAAGAAGTAATATATAATAAGTTCTTGAAGGACGCAGTGAACATTTATCTGATAAACTCATAGCCAAGTCAGTATGTTCTTTCAAAATTGTGGTTAAGATATTAGGCTTTGGAGACTGACCGACATACCACTTTCTTAATAGCATGTCCTTAGAAGTTATTTACCACTCTTGTGACTCAATTTCCATACCTATAAAATAGGGTTAATAATAGTGCTTTTCTTATGAATTTCTTCTGCAGAGTAAATGAAATGGCGTGCATAACACCATCTTGCATATAATATGCTGTCAATACATATAATCTACTATTATGATTTATTATGGTCACTTAAGATGATTTTGGAGATGTCTTTATTGTTCAGGAGAAATAAACTGAGGCATAAAATACGGTTATAAAATTGGAAGAAATTAAAAATGTGTCTTGCTGTTTAGTATTTAACTTTGCCAGTGAGACTGAATGGAAATTTGGGGCATTAATAATTGTCTAATTACTGGCTGATTACTGTTCATCAGTGAAATTCAGAAGGCCAGCAAGAAATATTGTAGTTCTTAGCAATGGGCCATTCCAATTTCCTTTTAATGAGAAGCATGTGAAGAGTGCTAGAGACCTACATTTAGCAAATGAGAAAAAGAAAAAAAAATGTAATAGAAGTCTATTCTAGATGAGATGCACTTATTAATCATCACTAAGGCCATTAGGAGACTTAGTTCCTTTATATTTCTGCAGAATGACTATAAATTCATGATATTTCTTAGTTATAGAATTATATATGTATATATTTTGAATTAATTACCTGTCATGGGTTCAATGCTTTACATAAATTACTCTATTTAATACATGAAAATGTGGGTAAGTTCAATGTAAAATTTTATAGATTCTCAACCAAAGCTGAGAGAATTTGAGCCATTTTCCTACAATTTTACAATTGCACTTGTTGACCCATCTTTTACTAAAAACACGGTTCTTCCTGACTTCCCTCTCAGTGAAGGGCTATGTCCAAAAATTTCCTAAGCCAGCAACATGGCATCATTACTAAATAGCTCCCTCCCACCCTTATTCCACAGCATGCAGGCAAAAGAATTAAATGTAAGCACACACACAGAGATACAGATACAGTATACTATTAATTCCATTTTGTATGTTTTGCTGAAATCGATCCAAGTTTCCCTCCCTCCCCTGCTTCTGCTCCAGATAGGCCAGCATAATCTTTTGTCTGGACTACTGCAGTGGTAACTTTCTTAATAGTCACCTGTTTTCCTGGTTTTTGCCCTTCTCCAATTCACTCCTGAGTTTTCAGCCAGGGAAAATGTTCCAAAACGTAAATCTGATCTTGTCATTTACTGCCTAAAACCTCTCATTTACTTTCATTTGTCCTCAAAATAACGCCCAGATTCCTAATCATCACTTAACGGTCTTGTGAAATGAGTAGTCATTTCACATTTCAGCAACAAATCTCCTACTCTCCAATTAGAGCCCCAAACCTTCTGACATTTATTCACTTTTTGAAAAATTCAACATTTATTTTCATTAGTATCTGTATGAGTCCGTTTCACGCTGCTGATAAAGATATACCCGAGACTGGGTAATTTACAAAGAAAAAGAGGTTTAATTGGTTCACAGTTTCACGTGGCTGGGGAGGCCTCCCAATCATGGAAGGAGATGAAAGGCATGTCTTGCCTGCAGCACGGGAGAGAGAATGAGAGCCCAGCCAAATGGAAAGCCCCTTATAAAATCATCAGATCTCGTTAGACTTATTCACTACCACGAGAACAGTATGGGGGAACCCGCCTCCAGGATTCAATTATCTCCCACGGGGACGCACCCACAACAGGTGGGAATAATGGGAACTACAATTCAAGATGAGATTAGGGTGAGACACAGCCAGACCGTATCAGTATCTACACGTGTTTTCTCTTTTCATGTGACTAATTTCTATTTCTCTTTCAAAGCACCTCTTATACATTTTATATTTATTTTCCTAGAAGTCTTTCCAGGATTAGCAGCTCTCCTATGTGTCCAATTCATCATTTTAATTAACGCTTCCCCATCAGTTACAGTGTTAGGCTGCGCTGGAAATTATCAGTTTCCTCAGCCTGCCACCAAGCCACCTACCTCCCACTGGCCAAACACACATATACACAAAGGTGCACACACTCACTACTGGCTAATTGTTTCTTTTAATAAGAAGGGCTTTAGGGCAGTAACTTAATCTCCTAGATTTTTTTTTTTTTACATTTGCACAACACAAATTTACAATATCTTTCTCAACTTCCTAGAAAGATGATATGAAAAAAATAGGAAAAAAAAAAAAAAGGATGTGTACATGCGTGACACAGATAATGAAATCTTTCTTTCATGGTGCTTATTAACAAGTTTGTTCAAAATTCAGTGAAATTACTGTATTTTTTTCACTGATTGTCTTAGAGATTTTGCTTCTCCCAATACCTCTTTAATAGCAATAGGGATAGGGATTCTTAGCTAAGTTTGGAAGGTGTTGCATTTTCGATGGGCTGCCTTCTCTGTAAACCAGAGAAGCAGCAAACCTCCGACTTTATGTTCTGGCTCTACCTCAAAGTTTGTTCCCCCAATATGGGAACCTGTCTATGTTTCTTAGATGTATTTTTCCAAAATATATCTCTTGCTGTAAAATTGTAAGGACCTGAGGGGAAAAGTACGGTATCAATAAACATACCTATTTTCAAATATGTACCTGATAAACTATATTATACATACAGAAGAGGTACAATATTGTCCTGGAACCTCTCTCTGGCCTGGAGATCTATGCTGTCTCCAATGAGCCTAGAGAGTCCTCATTGGGAAACAAAACTTTTGTTATAAAATGGGGTTTTCAATTTTCCCTTTTTATATGAAATCATGACAACAAAACCATCTTAGTAATTGAGGTTTTAATTTCCCTAGATTTTACTAAAACTGTGAGTGTTACTGATTATGACTGATGCCAAGTGGAACCATTTAGGGGGCTCTCATGCCTGTTCTTTCTGTGTTAGACAGGACTATGAAGAGCTAGAAAAGCAGCTGAAAGAAGTCTTTAAGGAGCGGAGCACCATTCTTCGTCAGTTAACAAAGACATCAAGAGAACTTGATGGAATTAAAGTCAATCTTCAGGTGAGATGAAAACTCATTTTCTGAGCAGTAAAAGATGAGCAGTCATCTGATTTTCTGAGTGGATTAACATGCATTTTTAAACAGTTTTTAATGTGTTTCTGGGCTGGACCGTGGTAGTGATTACTTACTATTATATGCACTTTAAACAGAAATGTCATTTGAAATATTGTCTGGGAATCTGTGTCTAACAAATACAGAAATGAGAAAATTGTGTGCTTGGCAAAGCCATCAGTTCCTCAAGCTTCTAAGATCAGTTTGACCCCTGTGTTTTTCATATTATAAAATGACAAAGTAATTATGCTCAAGAGTTAAATGAATATAGGAATGACACCTACAAGAGAATTTTAAATTCCCCTCGGTATAATTCTAAAGATTCTTTAATAAATCGTATTACCAAAATAGGTAAATACTTTTAAAAGACAACTGTAAAAAAAAAAGTCTTAACATACTGAAATCTTCAAAAAATTCTACACAGGTTAAAAATAGTTTCATAAATATTTGGTAATATATTGCAATATTTGACATAAACATTGCATTTATTATATCCTGTATGCTAGAAGCTTTGTATGTATTATATGGTTTAATTCTTATATCTATGAGGTAGATCCTATTGTAACATCCCTTGTTACACATGAGAGATAATGTTTAAGAAAGATATGTTATTTTTGAATGTTACAAAAGAAGCCAGAGTTTACATGTAGACAGTCTGGCTCCAGAGACTATTAGTTACTGAACTGAATCATGTTTTTAAACCACGTGGAGTTGCTTCTGTCTACACTCTTCTCCTTAGGTTCCCAATCCCATTAAGATGATAATAATGATGATGATGATGATGATGATGGTGGTGGTGGTGGTGGTGGTATTAGTAACCACTGAGGCTTACTGAACATGGTCAAGGTCCAGTGCTAGATACTCTTTCTCCAATTTGTATTTAATTTTCACATGAAGGCTATCTGTCACATTTCATACTTGAGGAAACAGAGTTAGAGAAAGGTTAAGAAACTAAGAGCATGCAGATAGTCAAGAGACAGAGCTAGTATTTAAAGTCAACATCTAAGCTTTTCTTCCAGATGTGTTACATGTGGAGAAGATGGAAACAAGAGCAAAAACAAACAAACAAACAAAACATAGACAACCCTGCAGGACACAGAGATGGTAGCAGGATGATAACAGTGCGGGAATCATAGTGTTATGATAGAAGCATGCACAGAGCATCAGGGAAACATTCAGAAGGATGAAAAGAAGTGCAGATTGATTTCTGGTGAAACCAATGCCTGACCTGTGGTTAAGTGGAAATTCACCAAGTGAATAGACTGGGAAGAATATCAAGAAACCTGCACCTTCTTAGAGGCATATAAACACTAAGGACTGAAGTAGTAAACATAACTTATTGTTAATGTTCTGTCTGTAGAGACCAGTTACAATTTCACATGGCCTTGTTTTCTTTGTATGTCTTAATGCATTACTCATAAATAAGAAATCAACAAAACCTAACAGGTGCATGCCCTTTGACTGTTTTCATCTTGAATTGTGTTATTTCCTGGCGTATGCAGGGAGGTTTGCTATGTTCCCTAGTATTTGTAGAAGCTGTACCAGACCTGGTTTAACATGCCTGCAGAGAACACAGTAAAACTTCAAAGAATGAATAGAAGATATGTTTTATATTCACTTATAAATAAACCTTTATTTCTTTATATTTTGATATTTGGAGAGTAGTTTCTCCCCCATCAAACCTCTAAAAGCCAAGACTGCTCAATTCCTTTCACCCACTGTGTAGTTGGTGCCATAAATTTCTGTTTACATCCTTAGAGCCGTGAGGACCATCATGAACTTATTTTTAATTCTTGTTCCAGGGCATGTGTGCAGTCCTATCTAGTACTCTAAAACCAAAGTTAAAGTGAGCCTCAATTTATCATCTGAATAAAACTTCCTTTTTCCACTTTCTTATCAGTCTTTAAAAAATGATGAGCAATCTGCCAAAACTGATGTTAAGAAACTTCTGGAATTAGGACAGCAACAAAGGTAAGACTTTTCTTTTTTATTTAGTTACTTCTGCCATAGTGTCAAGCAACATTCAGAGACTTCACAAAATTTATTGATTCTAAATGCACGAACCTACTTATCTTTTCACGTATACTTAAATGTGCATGTGATTCACTTGGGAATCTTGTTCAAATGCAGATTCTTACACAACTGGGGTGGGCTTGAGATTCTGCATGTCTAACAAGCTCTTTGGTGATGGTGATGCTTTTACCTTTTGTCTGCAAATCACAATTTGAATGTTAGGGAGCTATAATACTTTCCTCAGTTAGTAAGATGGACCCTAGTAAGTCTGCCCATCAATAGACATGTTTGATAATATTGACCTAAGCGGACCATATTTAATAAAATCAAAACTTGATTATGGTAATAATGATGTGGTGGTAAAGAATGGAATAATCTTATTAACAATACCAGTAGAATCAGTATAATATTATTAGTATGGGTTTGCTTGTTTTTGAGGGAAGTATTTTATGAAATTTATTTGTGTACATTATAAAAAGTCATGTGATTTTTAAATTGCTTTTCCAAGTCAAAAAAAGAAAAACAAGTATTTTAATATAGAAATAACCTTACATCTGCCACATGCTTACTAGCAGCTCTTCTAGTAGATTTGTATATATTTTCTTGTTTCATCTTCACAGTTACCTTGTGAAGTGGCTATTATTCCCATTTTGTAGATGGCAAATTGTTGCTCAGAGTGCTTAGTGGAATTGCTGAGAATCATGTTAATTGAAATTTAGATTTAAAATCTGCTCGCCGGGCGCGGTGGCTCAAGCCTGTAATCCCAGCACTTTGGGAGGCCGAGACGGGCGGATCACAAGGTCAGGAGATCGAGACCATCCTGGCTAACACGGTGAAACCCCGTCTCCACTAAAAAATACAAAAAACTAGCCGGGCGAGGTGGCGGGCGCCTGTAGTCCCAGCTACTCGGGAGGCTGAGGCAGGAGAATGGCGTGAACCCGGGAGGCGGAGCTTGCAGTGAGCTGAGATCCGGCCACTGCAGTCCAGCCTGGGCGACAGAGCGAGACTCTGTCTCAAAAAAAAAAATAAAATAAAATAAAATAAAATAAAATAAAATAAAATAAAATAAAATAAAATCTCCCTAATCCACCTCGCGCTCGCAAAACTCTATCTCACTCCGCTCCGCTCCATCCATCCGCTCCATCCATCCGCTCCGATAGTCGCCTTCTGATCTTGCCATAGCCCACCTTTCCGGTCTGGCTGACTGATCACAATGCAAAAACTGTTTAAAGTTTATACACAAGATAGCATGTGGAGTAGATTCTAAGTCCCTTCTCATCAGCCTATATGTCCTCCACTGACCTTGGTTCTTAATTCGAAACTCTATTATTGACATGCCTTTGGATTGAGTTGATAATATCTATTAAAAATATAAAATCAATTGTTTACATTGACTCTTATTATTATAGTGGCGTGTTTATTATTTCTTGAATGTAGAAATTCTCTTAGAAAGTCTAATATTAAAACTTGAAAAAGCAAATGAACACGTTTCCAAAACCATATTATTTTAATAGTTATGTTTAGTTGGAAATAAATCATGCTCAGTGTTACACAAGTATTTGTGTCTCTGTGAAGTAGTGATAGAGGACATAAGCAACATTTGGAATAGAAATAGTAGACCATTATTGAGTCAGAAAATAGAAAATCTTGTCATTTTGTGACAACATGGATGAACCTGAAGGACATTTATGTTAAGAAAACTAGAGCGGACACAGAAAAACAAATACCACTTGATATCACTCTTATTTGGAATCCAAAAGTTGATGTAAAGAAATGGAGATTAGAGTGGTAGATTTACCAAAGGTGAAGAAGTGGCTGGAGAGAGTGTTGGTGGTGAAGTATTGGCTAAAAGAAATACTAAATTTCAGTTGGAGAGAAAGAATAAGTTAAGATGAAGTGAGTACATGATTACTACCGTTAATAATATACTATATTCCTTAAAAATAAAATTAAAAATAACCCATCAAAAGAGACCAAGAGATGCTGAAAATGATTATTTTTATAGAGTATTTCAGGTTAGGAATGGAAAATGAACAAAAATAGAAAAACAAAAAATTGATTTCTACTCAATATATTGCAGCACCCAGTGAGAACTGAAGGCCGATATAGTGAGTTTGAGAAGATTAGAAAATAAATCTGTATGTAAAGACAAAAATAAAAATGGCTAAGGTGGCACATACTGAGGTTTCAGTGATAATAAATGAGAACCTCTTTTGGTAGTTCTATAAGAAATAATATAATTAAAGAAATCTTTTAGGGGAAATACTGTGTTATTTCCTGGCTTTTAGAGAAATTATTCTGTCAAAACCATTCAGTAGAAAACTGTAGAACAGGGAGGCGAAAACACTACTTAGAGACAAGGACAGGGAGATCTCAGGTGAGGACCATGGAGTAAAAGAAAATAAAGTCAGCCTTTCTTTATCACTGGAGGGACACAGATAGGGAGGTGAAACTTGTGCATGATGTGAATGAAAACCTATTCCCTTAGTTTGCTGATATTTTCTTAAAATATCTATGACTGGTCCACATGACACCAAAAACACCACAAAAATCAGGAAAAAAATGTGAATAGGTGTTTAAGAATTTTAATCATCAAGTATACATGTGGTAAAGTATATAAACTACCAGATGATAGAACAAGCCTTTCAAAGAGAAGATAAAATGAGAATATTTTGGTCTTACTAATTCATGATTTTATCTAAAATTAAAAAACATTTAAAATGCATAGCATATTATATTAATCAAAGTTAGAATGGAAGACTCAATAAATTATAATAAAGGTAACTTCTCAAAGGATATGAATGTGTTGCATTTGATTTTGCTGTTCGCAAAAAATATAAACATTGTGTATATTATAGTAAAAGAGCCTGTATCTCATTTAAAAATCTGACTTATTAGTAAACATTAAAAGAGAAAAAGTGTCACCTTTGGTTATCAAAAATACGACAATTTGTGCAAATTTAAACATCTTCCTCTGAGTTTGAAAAGAGTGCAGTGTGCTTACAGGTGCCATTTGGTCACATCTCCAGCTCTCAATTATTACCTTGTTTTCTGGATCCTTTGTCCTCAGATCTTTGTCATCTGGCTTCATCTGGACTAGTGATCCCTGGAAGCCATGCCTCTTTTATGTGACTCTGAAACCGCTGGTCATAGCTAATGATTCAGAGGTGGCCACCCAAACAAAACAAATCAACTAGTTTCTCCCTCTGGAACTGTAATATAGAGGCAACTAGCCAGTCTTTCTGTGTAGCTGGAACTAGGCTGTAAGTAAATTCAGGGGATATGCTGTGACACATACAACTATGTGACAGCGAGTGTCTTTCGAGCAAGACAAGCAGAGAAAGGTGTGTGTGTTTGTGTGCGCGCATTTATGTGAGAGAAAGAGTGAAAATGAGATTGTGTTGGCTTGAGCATCACGTTTCAGGAATATTTACACAGCTTGAATAATATTCTGGGAGAGTCCCCGGGTGGATGGAGAGATTACTAAACCATACCATGTCAGGTTTGAGAATATATATACAACAAAGGAGAATAGGGAATAGAGACAGGACCACAAATGTCTGAAAATTTGAAAATGTCCTTGAGCAAAAGAGAATAAAACCTTTTATTCTTTAAGGTGGTTGGTTGGTAGAGATTCCCGGAAGGCACTTTTGGACTCATTGTACTAAAGTACTTTACAATAATGTTCTCTGAAAACTAAAAAAAAAAAAAAAAAAAAAAAAAATGTTGCTAAAATTGTGGCACGTTCTCCATCTCTAATATAACTGTGAATGATCACTAGAAAGAAATAGCTTTCTGTAGAGTGATTAAGAAAGTTGAGACTGTTTATAAGCTATAATTTGGGATGAAAAGAGGTGTGAAATGATGGCCCTTTGAAATTCATAAAATAAAATAAAATAAAATAAAATAAAATAAAATAAAATAAAATCTGCTCCGTCTTACCCCGCAGCCCCACCTTTCCAGTCTGGCTGACTGATCACAATGCAAAAAACTGTTTAAAAGTTTATACACAAGATAGCATGTGGAGTAGATTCTAAGTCCCTTCTCATCAGCCTATATGTCCTCCACTGACCTTGGTTCTTAATTCGAAACTCTATTATTGACATGCCTTTGGATTGAGTTGATAATATCTATTAAAAATATAAAATCAATTGTTTTACATTGACTCTTATTATTTATAGTGACGTGTTTATTATTTCTTGAATGTGAAATTCTCTTCAAAGTCTAATATTAAGAAAAACTTGAAAAAAGCAAACTGAACACGTTTCCAAAACCATATTATTTTAATGATTGTATTGGTTTGAAATAAATCATGCTCAGTGTTACACAAGTATTTGTGTCTCTGTGAAGTAGTGATAGAGGACATAAGCAACATTTGGAATAGAAATAGTAGACCATTATTGAGTCAGAAAATAGAAAATCTTGTCATTTGTGACAACATGGATGAACCTGAAGGACATTATGTTAAGAAAACTAAGCCGGACACAGAAAAACAAATACCACTTGATATCACTCTTATTTGGAATCTAAAAAAGTTGATGTAAAAGAAATGGAGATTAGAGTGGTCGTTACCAGGGTGAGAGGTAGCTGGAGAGAGTGTTGGTGGTGAAGTATTGGCTAAAGAATACTAAATTTCAGTTGGAGAAGAGAAATAAGTTAGATGAAGTGAGTACATGATTACTATAGTTAATAATATACTATATTCCTTAAAAAATAAAATTAAAAAATAACCCATCAAAAGAGACCAAGAGATGCTGAAAATGATTATTTTTATAGAGTATTTCAGGTTAGGAATGGAAAATGAACAAAAATAGAAAAACAAAAATTGATTTCTACTCAATATATGTGCAGCACCCAGTGAGAGACTGAAGACGATATAGTGAGTTTGAGAAGATTAGAAAATAAATCTGTATGTAAAGACAAAAATAAAAATGGCTAAAGGGTGGCACATACTGGGT